GAACTAAACGTTCGACGAACCGTTCGTGAGCTGTTCGGTGGGAAGTTCGTTTATATTCGTTTAGTTAATAAATTAACGAATATGAACACAAATTCTCCTTCGTTTAGTTAAACGAACGAACATGAGCAATGGTCTCGTTCGTTCATTTACGTTCGTGAACGTTCGTTTATGTTGTTCGTTTATGTTCGTTCATTTAAGTTTTTTTTATGTACATATATTTTTCAATTGTTTTTTATTACATTACTATATTATTGTTCATTTATGTTCATATATATTCAATTATGTTTGTTTATCTTTGTTCGTTTATGTTCGTTTAGCATGTTCACGAACATAAACGAACGAACATGAACAAGGCAATTTGTTAAACGAACGAACATGAACAAGAAAACTCCGTTCGTTTATCCGTTCGTGTTCGTTCGATTGTTCGGCTAACTTAAACGAACGAACATGAACAAGCCTTTGTTCGTGTTCATTCGGTTCGTTTATAGTCCTAACTACAACTGGAGGATTCCAGGGGATACAAATACATGGTTTTATTTTAACTAATAAAACTACTATACATACTGGTGGCAGCCAGGGTTTTCATACAAAGGTTTTCATACAGAACATACTATACATACTGGTGGTAGCCAGAGTTTTCATACAGAACATACTACACATACTGGTGGTAGCCAGGGCTTTCAAAGAAAACATACTATACATAGTGGTGTTAGCCAGGGTTTTCATACAAAGGTTTTCATATGGAACATACTATACATTACTGGTGATAGCCATAGTTTTCACACAAAGGTTTTCGTACATAATACATTATACAATACAACTAATGGTAACCAGGCATACAGACTAACATTTTCATATACAACTACAGAATACAGTAACGAACATACACTTTGGTCTTAGGGTTTAAGACTACTTTTCATTACTAAAGAAAATATTGGATTTTCTTGAGAACATGCAAACATTTTACAGATTCACAGACAGGTTTTCATTACAAAAACATACTTATGAACTCACCAGCTTTAATGTTGATACTCTTTCAAAACCGCTTGAATTCTCAGGAAATCAGTAGACAGGTATTCCTGCAGGCTTTTGAGAAGACGGAGCTTTTAGAGTCGCGTCTTTTAATACTTTTGATTACACTTTTGCTGTATACACACTATGTATCGAACAGATGTAAATATCTTAAATATATTCAATGTAATGGTTGTGTTTGCTTTGATTACTATGATGCAATTATTGTGATACTGTACATGACGTCCTCCACCCCCGAACGTTTCCGCCGTTCCGGTTTGGGGGTGTGACAGCATGTCGCCACTTGTGAGATTGTTTAGATGCGATGACTTCTTACAGATATGTGTGTTCGCATTTCTAGCCTACCCTTTGCACTGTGACAACGAGAGTGCAATAATGATTTCCAAGAATTCAGTATTCCATGAGTGGACAAAACATATTGAGATTGATTGTTATTTCAATCGTCATCACCTTTAGAATGAGACTATTTTTCTTCTCTATGTTCCATCTACCTTGTAGATTGTTGATCTGTTTACGAAGGTCTTGACTGCCCCTCAGTTTTATTTTTGATTGACAAACTTTTAATGTTTATTGTTATCGTATTGTGAGTTTGGGAGGAGATGTTAATCTAATAACTTTATTGGTCTATTTTGGTTTGGGACATATGTTTAACCCTTTAGATTTGTTTAACCTAATTAGGTTTCTTATTTATATCGTTTTTCCAATTATTATATCTTTTTTTTTATAATAATGAAACCCTAGTTGTATTTTGTGTCTTTTATTCAATAGTTTACAATAGGGATATTATTAATAAGTAACATCGTAAATATGTTTTTTTGGTAATGTTGACCATGAACTCCCTAAAAGAATCTAAACACAATCACCATTTGTTAGCCTCCCCATCAAGGCTAAAATGGGAAGAAGAAGTAACAAGCCCAAAAACCACGCAGCTTCAACACCCTCGTAACTTGCCTTCACCAGTTCTAGTCACCAGGGATGAAAGTGGGTCCAAACCCGGACCGGATGGACCTGGACCCGGAAAATCCAGAACCGGTTAACGAGATTTTGTAGAACCGAAAACCGGACCCGTATATAGGAACCGGTTCTGGTTCGGCACTTAATTGTCCATTTCTTCCGTCTTTTCTGGTGGTTTGGCGATGGGTGTATCGGTTGTGGCTGCCGCCGCCCATAGGTCGCCTTACCTGCGTATTCCGACGACATTATCCATTTGGGAGATGGCCAAGCATCTTTTGTTGAGGATTCAGACGTTGTGATGGTGTTATTTGGGGTTATTTGTGTGATACTTGGCCAAAAGACGAGGGGCATCCCACCACCACCACCGTGAGGTGGTGGCTGCCACCCATTATTGCTTTCTGCCACCCTCCGCTGCCACTAGCCGCCATTGGAGGTGGCTGTTGGTGTGTGTATGGGTGTATGCTCTAGTGTTTTCACCGATTTCAGTATTTTTGGAGGTTGTATGTGTGTTTTGTGACCGGAAAACCCACCACCACCACCATGAGGTGGTGGCCGCCGCCGTGAGCCGCCACTGACCACCACTACCTGGGGTGGTAGTGGGTGGTGCTTGGCATAGTGGACCCTAACGGGCCTAAGCACTTGATCTTGGACTGGGCTGCTTTGTGATTGGGCTAGAAACCCTAATTAGGGTTTAGAAAACCCTAATTTTGGGTTTGTTGGTTTGGGCCTATTGGGACCCGCATTTGGACCAGTGAACTGAAGATATAACTCATGACGATTCTATTGTATGATGGCTCAGTGGAATAATGGACTTAATAGGTTAAGTCCTTAATGGGTTAAGTGACAAACACTTAACCCTAATCGTCATTTTATGTGAAAACCCTAATTTTTGCTTAGGCCTTAAGTTGGGCCTTTTTATTGGGATTTGGTGTTTGGGCCATTGATGAGCCATCCAAGAGCAGTCATGTGGACTAGAATATTTTCATGGGCTTTAGGGTAAGGCCCATGTGAGGGTTTGGGCCCAATTTGGAAAATTGGGCCATAGTTGGGCCATTAGAGGACTTTTGTGAACCCATTTGGTATTGGGTCTTTGTGGGCCCATTGGGCTTGGGTTATTTCTGGACCGGATTGGTGGACCATATTTGGACCTAATGTGTGAAGGTTTGGTCTTAGATTCTAATGGGGTTAATTGTGGGTTTGACTCAGTGTTAGAAGCCGGAGTACAACAGCAGCATTTAAAGGATCTGTCCGCCATCCGAGGTGAGTCTTCTCACTATACTTATCCGTGTGGTAATTTATGTGTTACCGGAGGGTCTTATTCGTGTTATTGACTGGAGGGTCTTAATTACATTATTGGCCGGAGGGTCTTAGTACATTGTAGACCGGAGGGTCTTTGTACATTATCGACCGGAGGGTCTTATTTGTTTATAATGTGTTATGTGTTAGCGTGCATACTGTCTTTGTGACTTATGCTGTTATAGTAATCTGTGTATATGTTGATCTTATGTGCTTACTTGAGTTGTGCACTTGTCTTTGTGATATATGTTTGCTATATTATGTGATACTGAGACCGGACCGGAGGGTCCAATGAGCTGTGAGACCGGAGGGTCCTCACTGAGACCGGACCGGAGGGTCCAACGAGCTGTGAGACCGGAGGGTCCTCACTGAGACTGGACCGGAGGATCCAACGAGCTGTGAGACCGGAGGGTCATCACTGAGACAGGACCGGAGGGTCCAATGAGCTGTGAGACCGGAGGGTCCTCACTAAGACCGGACCAGAGGGTCCAACGAGCTATGGGATTAGAGGGTCCCACTGAGACACATAGACTGGAGGGTCTTACCGAGTTATTGCCTCGAGTGGCTAATGTGTTGTATGTGGTATTTTGGGGAACTCACTAAGCTTCGTGCTTACCGTGTTATGTGTTATGTGTTTCAGGTACTTCTCAGGATCACGGGAAGGCGCCGGCTTGATTGTACACACGAGATGAAGTTGTGTTTGAGGATCCTGGATTTTATTTAAATAATTATGAACACATGTTTTTGATAATTGATATATTGAGATTTTGTGATATGTGTTGATGATATTTATGTGATTTTAAAAATGAAAAATTTGTATGAAAATTTACGGTGTTACAATTTTTTTTACCGTTTCTGTTAATAATACTTTTTGTTTCGGTAGTATCTTTTTTAACATGTGTAATTCTTTTACGAACTTTGTAGACATTCTTTGTAATATTTTCTTAATTTTTTTTATTTAATTTTTTATGTTTTTTAAAATTAGTTTTTTTTCTAGAATAAAACTAATAGTTTCTTTTGTATTTTTTTAGAAATTTTATATTTTTGGTATTTTTTACATGTTCTTTTTAGTATTCTTTCAATGTTTTAAGACTAAAATTATTAAAATTTCGATGTTGAGAATTATTTTCACTTTATAAAATTAGTTTATTTAAATTTCAGTTTACTGCAGATGTTAAAAAACAAACATGTTTTTTGTTACAGGTTGCTGCCGTTTGGTCCACCTCTTCTGCTGCAGAGGACTGCATAAGTGATCCGCAGACTTTATGAATTTTCGTTTCGAAAAAACAAACAACACCTAAGTCTACAACCCCTTCCATGTTATTGACATTTTTGGCCCCATTTGTCCTTCTTTAATTTCTCTATGTTGGCTTTGGCTTCTGCTAGGTCTTCAATATGATCCGCATAAGTTGCAATGTTGCATCAACCATAGGTCCGACCCTCGTAATTTCACATAAAATTCCGTAAATCTTATACATAATTTGTGATATTATTTATTACTCCAAATGAAATTTTTACTACCTTAAAATCCAAAAGTTAGGAATATTACACACAAATGAAGAAAAAAATACTTTCACAATAAACGTTATCATGTGGATATGAGAAATAGTTATTAACTTGTACGTTGTTTATCATAATTTTTAAAAAATTAATCAAATTACACAAGTTTAGTTAAGATATTGGTATCTACTGGACATGAATAACGAAACAGGTATACATGATTAGCAGTTACACAAAGCTGAGTGACATTATTATTTTAATCAATCCATTAGTAATTACAGTATGACTTTATTCTTTTATTTACAAACGAAGGTTGATTCAATTTGTATGGATGTGTGCTTTAAATTTTCTTGTTTTTGTTGATGGGTTGAATCAAATCAGAATCACCAATCTGATTACGAATAGCCTTCAAGCTCTTTCGCAACAACCACAACTCCTTGACATAGTAATGAAGTCTGTCTATCATCAATCCCAAGAATAAACAAAAACCTACATCACATAAATCATGTTATTTTACAAACTGTACATAAAATAAAGGGAAAAACCCATAAAAACCTTGTGTATTATCTCAAAATACTCAAAAAGACATTACTTTTTTTATTAAAACCATTTTATGTTTAGATATTGTCTAAAATAATGTACTCTCATTAAAAACATAATATAGTTTGTATTCATTCAAATGTCCATCAAAATCGGTCCAATAACCTCATAAAGGGGCTAATCTCAAACTTATTTTTAAAAATCAGACCAAAAATCATTGAGGAAGCATTAATTAAGATCAAAACATAAAATGGTTTCAATGGACAATGGGAAAAATATAACATACTTTTTTTTGAGTATTAAGAGATAATATTTGGGTTATTCTATAGTTTCCCCTAAAAGAAATATGCAATTCATTACAAAATAACATAATGTACCCATGAGCGAGGCCTCAAGAATATGATTGGACAAAAGAACTCGATCGGTTGGATTAGTGACACCAACCTCCATCATGTGCTTTTGATTTTTATAAATACCATAAAGATTGAACACAAAAACTACTGATAATATCGTTGTAACGGTTCTTGAGGCTACAAGGCCTCTACCTTGCTTCAAACGATCCAACCCCATAACGACTAGGTTCCTTACAGGTGAGTGAAACAGAAGAATTATGATCACTCCCATCTCTAATGCTAAAAGTGTAAATAAAAGTGGTGTCATCTTTTCCTTTTTGTCAATGGATTTTTGGCAAATGAGATTGAAAGGTCCAAGGAAAAGAGGGAAATGAATGGCAATGAAAGATGATGATTTGTTGCATATCTTTCTTTTCTTCACTTTTGCAATTGCAATTTCATTCCAAACTTCCATCTCAATGAAAGAATCATATTCTCCTTCAAAATTTGGTTTTCAGATTACTTTGAACACTTATGACAAGTTTTCTTTTGAAATGTCATATATATGGAAAGGCATCAGTGGGTATATCCAAAAAAATTGTGGATATTGAACGACCATTTTTAGTGAATATTAAAAGCAGTAATCTTTTAAATAAAAATCCTAATGCATCCAGACATTGATGCTATAGCAGCATAGCTTAAACCACACAAAATTTAAAAAAACAATCACGCATATCGGATAATAATTAAGGATTTTATGGACACAATTTATTTATTAGTGATTTTTTTTTCCAATTGATCAAATAAAAGACAACAAACAACAATTAATACTGTACTTGGAAAACACGGAAAAAAAATCAACAAAAATAGCCTCAAATGTTCGTAAAAGACACATGGAGGATCTTTTAGATACTTAAAATGGTCACCCCGATTCCATGATAATTGGAAATACGGTATTATTTTTATTAGTTTTGATTATAATACCATCTACTTATTTTAGGTTAATTTAAATTATTTACTCTACAATTGTTGATTATAGATACTTCGAGTCGTGAAATAATATATAACTACAAAACAAAGCAGAAACCTAGAGGGTGCACATTGGTTTCCGTCCAGTCTAGGACTAGTTAAGGTCCTATGGTCCTATCTGAATCCTCTTCGGATGATGTGGCTTTGGTAAAAACACAATCAAATATAGTTTTAAAATTAACAATTTTATTTTTTAATAACATATCTTTTAAAAGAAAATGATTTGTACATAATAATTTTTATTTATATACACCAATTATATATTTTTTTATGCCTATTATACAATCCTTTAAAATATCTAGATAAAAATGGATATGTAAATCACTTCATAATCTTAAAATCATTTTAAAAGACTGGGCTTGGAACATGTGTTCCGAAACTAGGGGTGAACAAACCGGTTTTTTTTCAAACCGAACCGGTTCAGTAAACCGGTTCGGTTCAGATTCGTGAATAGTAAAACCGGTTCAACCATAAACCGGTTCGGTTCAAACCGGTTCCGTCATAGAAAATCTCGAACCTGTCTAAACCGGTTACACCGGTTCTAAACCGGTTTCAATATCTAAAATCTCGAACGGGTGCGAACCGGCGGTTCGGTTCTTGAATCGGTTCGGTTCATAGTGGACCGGTTCGTAGTGAACCGGTTTACCGGTTCAGTGACCGGTTCGGATCCTGAACCGGTTTTTTTGTGCAAGCCTATCCGAAACCCATTTTAGGCTCATTATAGTTTTATACCATTTATATGTTTTTAGGGCCAGGCCCGGTTACATAAATTTTGGGTGTATTACACATCTACATTCCATTCGGCCCGTTAATATTTGGTACACATATTGTTAGGTCATTAATGTTGTTTTTTTTTTTTTTTTGAACCGTTTAGTTATTAGATGTTAAATTCACTAAGTCAATCAATTCGTCTATGCCCGAGTTTGAACCCGAGACCTCACGTCTAAGAAGAGACTTCCACCTCTACCAAATGGGCTAGTCCCACATTGGCCATTAATTTTGATACATTAATGAGGAAATTCCATCTTTCATGCTTATGTATGGTGCGCATTATAATACAAGATTCTTTAACTGTGAGAATGACAAATGATATCTCACATCATTTTGGTAGATGTAAATTAATTATTAGTGGGCAATGGTATATAACAAGGAATAGAAGCTAATGGAACCCAATAGCATATTTTCTGCATTACATTCTGCCCATACATTAAGATCCTATTCGGCAGACATTTAACAATAAGCATATTACTTGCTGACCCACATCCACAAAAAAAGTGACAAGGGCCACCCTTGAGAATGTACAGAATTCTCAAACACCCGAATAGAAAATTTAATAATCTAGAACACACCAACTGCCTTTTCAACTAGTCTTGCTGCTCTAAACATCTCTAATCAGCAAATATCCAAATTCTATCGGGAAGATGAAGACAACAAACTTAGCTCCTCTTGTGTACCTATGGAATACTGCCTTTGAGTTTAAGCTTTCTTTAACTCACAAATGCTTCTTGAAAAATTCTCAAGTTTTGTGCAAGCACATGGACCATCAGAAATAAGCTTCTCAATACTTCTAGTCAACGAGAGTAAATCCTCTTTATGAAAAGATTTAAACTCAAACTCTGGCAAATGATTTTCGGGGTGAAATGGGCAACTTTGTAAGGTAAAATGTAACACAGCTAAAGCATCACCTTCAACTAATTCATTCCCTCTACTATCATCTAATTTGTAAAACGAAAGGGATGAAAACCCCAAACAAGAAGTCAAGTCTAAGGCGACAATATTTTTTAGACATTCAACAGGAGCGTGAACTTCTAACAAGCTATAACACCCTCTAAGATTTAACTTCTCGAGATTTGGAGTCAACCCAAGGTCAAGGGTCCTCAACTTTGAATGACTAATTTTGAGGGATACAAGCTTTTGACATTGATCGACCAGTTGAAGTTCTTCCAAATCATAACAATCTTTAAGATATAAAGCACTGAGATTTGGAGTCAGCCCAATGTCAAGGATCCTCAACTTTAAATCAATGCATTGTAGGGTGTCGAGATTTATACATCTACTAGGCAAGTGAAGTTCCACCAAACTTTTGCATTCAGAAAGAAACAACTGATTGAGATTCGGAACTAGACTGAGATCAAGGGTCCTCAACTTTAAACACTCAATCTTGATGAATGTGAGCATTGGAGATTCGGCAATGTGAAATTCTTCCAAATCATTGCAACCATGAAGATCCAGCCTCTTAAGATTTGGACTTGACCCAATGTCAAGCGTCCTCAGCTTTAATCCAACAAGGTGGAGGGATCTGAGCTTTAAACATTCATCAGCCATGTGAAGTTCTTCCAAATCATTACAATTTGCAACATCTAAATCCTCGAGATTTGGAGTCAACCGAATGTCAAGGGTCCTCAAGTTTGAAAGGGAGAGATGGAGGGATATGAGATTTAAACATGTATGGGGCATGTGAAGTTCTACCAAATCACCACCACTAAGCCACAACTTCTCGAGATTTGGAGTCAACCCAAGGTCAAACATCCTCAACTTTACACCATAAATGTTGAGGGATCTGAGTTTAAGATATTCACCGGGCATGTGAAGTTCTACCAAACCACCAGGTCCAGGTCCATGTACATGTTTGACCAGCGTCAATGTCTCAAGATTTGGAGTCAACCCAAGGTCAAAGGTCCTCAAGTTTTTACCATGGAGGTGAAGGAATCGAAGCTTGTTAAGAACCTAACATAACCAAAATAACAAAATGAATATTAGTATAATAACAAAGCAATGGATGCATAGCATTATAATGAATCATGCAAAACAATTAGTCAACCACAATTTTACCTTTTTTTCTCCCCTTTCCCAAAGTTGTACGATATCGCTGTAAGACATCTCAAGTGAGACAAGATTATTTGCTTGAAATGTTTTGGGTAAATAACTAAAATTGTACCCATCCCATCGCAGATATCGTAAAGCATCTGGAAAGTAGGGGTGAACTTCATTAAATTTCCAATTACAACAAAGAAATCCTAAAGCATTTAGAAAGTTGGGGATGATTTTATTAATATCCCGATTCGAGTAAAATTCTTGATCAGCCACATCAAGAAACCAAAGTTCTGTCATCTTTCTAAGACCTTTCATAATGATTTGCCGATCCAGTCCCCTATAGTAGAATTTCATACATCTTGTTGCTTTTGTACCCTGTAATAGAAAAGCAATCAACATGAAACTTGTTTGCAACAAATGAAAATGTGTTGGTTTCTCCAACTTACAAATAAACCTGAGCCTTACCATGTCATTAGCCAATATATCTTCAATTTCCTTGCCATCCCACAACCGGCTATGTTTGTTAGGCATATCGGGGTGCGAACGACGAACAATATTCCTGCCCATTTCTTTTAAATGGTCATGCATGCCCAAACACTCATCATCATCAATAGTTATGAGAGACTTTTGCTCAAGAACTCTTAAACCAATTCTAGCATAAAATCCACAGCTTTCAAGTGCTCCGATAGCTGAGTTTTTCAGCCAACCTTTTAAGATGGTTGCAACATCCAGGAATATTTCCTTATGTTCTTCATCTAGACTGATATAGCTTAATTCCAACTTCTTCTGAGTTTCCTCTAACGGGATTGTTTTTAGTCTGGCTAGCGCATCTACCCATTCAGGCTTACTTTTACCACAGAGAAATGAACCCAAAACTTTGATCGTCAATGGAAGACCAGCAGCATAACATACAACTTGTCTTGATAGCTCTTCGTATCCTTGAACTGGAATCTCTTTCCCAAATGCATACCTACTAAAGAGCCAAATTGCTTCCTTATCTGATAACAGATTGACATTATGAATCAATTTCACTCCATGTGCTACCAACACTTGCTCGTCTCTTGTCGTAATGATAATTATACTTCCAGGCTTAAACCAACTAGGGTCACCAGCTAACGCCTCAAGCTGGTCCATACAATCCACATCATCTAGAACAAGAAGAACCTTTCCACCATTTAAAGGGATTTGACTTTGTAAGGAATTCAAAGAAGCTTTTGAAACTTCCCTCACATTCTCAATAAAGCTTTTGCCTTCGAACTGAAAGGATATTTTATTAAAAACAGCTCTGGCCAAAGTCGTCTTCCCACCTCCTCCTATCCCTCAGATCCCGATCATGTGAACATCATCCGAAGCAGTTCCTAAAGATGATATAATATCGTTGATCCGAGTCTCCATGCCTACTAAATTTTTATCGATGCGGACATTGATGGCGCGTAACTCTAGTGAAAGCTTTTCAACAATTTGTCGGATGAATTTTGCTTCATGCCTATATTTTAGAGAAGATTCAGTTACCTTACTCAAAATCACACATACAAACATGTATGAGGTAATAACATTGTAATATAATCATATTTCATGTTTAATCATTCAAGACACCGGGGTTGAGTAAAGATTTGACAATCCAACATGAGAAGCCATGTCTGAGCCCTTTTACATCCAAGATAAACATAGATAAGAAAGAAACAAAATGAAAGAATACTGTGGAGATATGATGAAGGAATTACCCATCAGTGTTCTTCAACTCCCACCCGGCCACATCAGCTACTTCTTTCAAAGCCTTTCTCCATTTCCCAGCAACCTCTTCATTTTCATGTTTGGCAAATGCTTCTCCAACTGCCCCGATCTGATTGCGGACTTCAGAGGGTTCCACATCATAGAATACGGGGTAAACAGTATGCTCTGTTGTCTTGTGACACTCCATTATCTTTAGAAGCTCATTCAAGCACCAAGATGAAGACGCATAGTTCTTGGAGAAAACAATAATGAAGAATTTTGAGTCTGCAATGGATTCCTTGAGCTCATCACTGATTCTTTTCCCTTTCTTAATTTTCTCGTCGTCCTTGTAAGTGGAAATGCTTTTCTGCTGAAGAGCATAATAAAGATGATCGATGAAGTTCTTACGAGTGTCTTCGCCTCTAAAACTCAAAAATACATCATACTTGAAGCTCTTATGAACGGAGAAAGTTGAAGAAGACGCCATTTACAGTATGCTTGAAGGATAAGATAATATTTGTTGGGGAAAATTTATAAAAAAATGAAACAACTGCAAAGAAACTTGGATGAGATAGAATTGAACAACCGTTAAGATGTAAGTTTATAGCACTGGTGGTTTGGCGAACGTCGACATCAAAGAAGAGGATAAGATCTATGTAAACAAAAGCCGTTTGTTTGGTCAAAGAAGAGGATAAGATTCTTTGCTAAAAAGGGAAAGAATAATGGAAATTGGGATCTTACTTCTTTCTACCAGGCAATGTAACATTTTTTTAGTAGCAATATTCCACCTGTTGTTGAACGGGGTAAGCATTAAAAAAAAAAAAAAAAAAAAAAAAAAAAAAAAAAAAAAACCTTGTAGTTGTGAGTCTTTTGGTTCCAAAATAAGGTATTTTGGATAGGCAATTTGGGGGTTTCTCATTCCAGAACTTGATATCCACAACTTTGTTAATTGATCCACTTTTTTATATAAATTAAATGAGGTATAACAGGTGGATAAGTGTAACGAACATACTATGTTTTTGGAATGTGTCCGTAGTTCTCACTTTATCTTAATTTTATCATCACCTAAGCTGCATTACTTATGATGGGGTTGGCTTATTTTGTTTCAGTATACATACACCAAATTTAATTATGTGCAATAAATTTAGTGAAGCCATATGGTGTGTTCAATAATGGGATTATAGGAGGTGGGAAAGTTGTTTCTAAGCCCACATTTTAAACTACTTTAGTAACTCATGTGAGTTTTTCGTGCTTAGAGAATTTTCTTTCATGCCTTTGCTTTATTGTTTTGGTGACTTTATCTTTAAAAGTGTTTATTTTTTTCCCAGAATTATTTTTAAGCTTTATAGGTATGATCCCGTGATTTTTAATATGAAAATTATGTTCCTTGCATTTAAGATGGAAAGCATATCCTAAACCATAATTTATGCATTTTCAGATTGGAGTGTGATGTGAAGTATATCCTTGGATCGACTCTGTCTTCTTGTGTGGGATATGTATCACATTCAGAAAGAAAAGAAAGTCAAAGTCAACTTACTAGAGAATCAAGAAGCCCTCTCGACTCAACAATACATGTACCTTCTAGGCTTCTTCTATATCTAACTCCTTTAAGCACTCAATATTCTTCAAGTGGCTAACGTTTGGTTTCATATTGGTCTTTAAACATTTGTTGTAGCTAGAGATCGAACCTGATTCTTATAGCTTAAACTTGTGTTTACCAACATCTCGCATTTTAAGCATATTTTATGGGTTACTCTTCAGCACTAGAGCTACAAGTCTCAGGTTTCAAAATCAAAGTATATTCACCTCCTCATGGTCTTTAGTGCTTGACATAGAAACATATGAATTAAGATCATATCAAATGCAACTTACACACAATTCAACTTAAGTTGACCATTTTATGCTCAAAATCTATTTACAACTAAAAATTCACAGAAAAAACATAAGCATTCAAGCACATATAGTGATTGTAAAATGAGCACTTGTTAAATGTGACATCATGTCTAAAATTTGAGTTTCTTTGGTTTCTTCATGTCTAAATTTGAATTCCATCCCCTTTCTTCCTGTAATCACACAGAAACAACCCACATGGAGAAGCTATGGGAAACGTTGGAAATAACTGAATTGACAGAGTATCCAAGTATTAACAAGGAATTTTTTTTTTTTTATTTCGGGTTTTGTTTTTAATATTAAAGCTTTGATTTTCAATTTATTTTGTTTTAGTTTTAGGTCTGAATATTAATAAGGAATTTCTTTAACATTATCACGAAATAGATGAAGGAGATGGCTGAAGATACAGGCAAAATTGCTACTTCAATGAAATTAACAGGAGGGGATGTTAAATTTCATGATGTAGGGACCAAAAACCTTAAAAAAACATAAAAATAAGGAACAAAATTGCAATTCAATTCCTTGAGGAGCCAAAACCAAAAAAAGAAGCTACATCTAGGTACCAAAATTGTAACTTACTCTAATAATAATAATGGAAATATCTATCTGAATATCTGATACATCCAATTTTACTTTAATCACTATTATTTCATCAAATATAAACAGACCCTATAAGTTACTTTATTTTTTCTAAAAGGAGGAAGTACAACCTTTCATGCTTGACTTAAGGTGTTGTCAAACCCTGATTATGAACATTTGGAGAAAGTATGACCCAGACTCTTCCTTTATGTATAGTACTTTTCAAATACAATTATCGATTTTTTGCTGAAATTTTAAATGTTGTCATATCAATTTGAAATTTTAAATGAAAGTAAGATGAATAACAGAAAACTGAGAAATTAGCTGCTACAATAGCTTCTTGTGAACTGGCTTTTCAGAGCTTCTCAAAATTATTTATGGAGCACATGAGAGGATACTCCAAATGCTTTAGGAATACTGCCTTTGAGTTCAAACTGTTTTTAAAGTTCTAACCGAATGCTTCTTAAAATCGTCTCAAGTTTTGTGCAACCACACAGACCTTGAGAAAAAAGCTTCTCAATAGTTCTAGTCAATGAGAGTAGATCTTCTTTATGAATACATGTAGACTCAAACTTTGGCAGATCTTTGTCGGGGTGAAATGGGCATCTTTCTAAGGTGAAATGTAACTCGGTTAAAGGACGAACCTCAAGTGAGTCACTCAATTTAGCACTACTATTATCCTTCTTGTGAAACACAAAAGATCTAAACCCGAAACAGCCACTCAAGTCTATGTAGACTATATTTTCTAGATATCCAATAGGGGCGTGAATTTCCACCAAATTGTAACATTCTTTAAATACCAACTTCCTGAGATTTGGAGTCAGACCAAGGTCAAGGGTCCTCAACTTTGAATGACTAATGATGAGAGATTTGAGCTTTTGATGTTCATCTATCATATGAAGTTCTTCCAAATAATTACAGTTTAAAACTTCTAACCAGTCAAGATTCGGAGTCAGCCCAATGTCAAGGGTCCTCAACTTTGACCCAATGATTCGTAGGTACCTGAGATTTAGACACCTACAGGGCATGTGAAATTCCTCCAAATAATAACAGTTTGCAAGTTCTATACTGTCTAGATTAAAAGTCATCCCAATGTCAAGGGTCCTCAAATTTAAATTATAGAGATAAAGATACTTGAAATTTAGACAACTGCGGGACATGTGAAGTTCTACCAAATCGTCACAGCTATAAAGAGACAATGTCTCAAGATTTGGCGCGTGTCCCAGGTCAAGTGTCTTCAACTTTGAACCAGAAAGTTTGAGGTATTCAAGCTTTAGACATTCATTGGGAACATGAAGTTCTACCAAATCATAGCATTTTTCAAGATCTAACTTCTCAAGATTTGGAGTCATTCCAAGGTCTAACGTCCTTAATTTTGAACCATCAAGTTGGAGGGATCTGAGCTTTGAACATTCAACGGGCATGTAAAGTTCTAGTAAATCACTGTTAAGATCTAACTCCTCAAGATTTGGAGTCTGCCCGAGGTTAAGTGTCCTCAACTTTGAACCATGAATTTTGAGGGTTCTGAGCTTTGAACATATAACAAGCGTATAAAGTTCTACTAAGTCACCATGTCCTCTAAGCTTCAATTTCTCAAGATTTGGAGTCAACCCAAGGTCAAGCGTTGTCAACTTTGAACCTGTGAATTTGAGGAATCTGAGCTTTGAACATTCAACTGACATGTAAAGTTCTACCAAATCACCATCAAGATCTAACTTCTCAAGATTTGGAGTCAACCCGAGGTTAAGTGTCCTCAGCTTTGAACCATAAATTCTGAGGGATCTGAGCTTTGAAGATTCAACAGGCATGTAGATTAGTTCTAGTAAATCACTTTTAAGATCTAACTCCTCAAGATTTGGAATCAGCCCGAGGTTAAGCGTCTGCAACTTTGGGCCATAAAGTTTGAGGGATCTGATCTTTGAAGATTCATCCGGCATGTAAATCTCTATCAAATCACCATGTCCTCCAAGCGTCAATTCCTCAAGATTTGGAGTCAACCTAAGGTCAATGGTCCTCAACTCTGGCCCACTGAGTTGAAGGAATTTGAGCTTGTTAAGAACCTAACATAAGCAAAATAACTATATGAATTAATAGTGGTATAATAACAAAGCAATGGATGTATAGCATTATAATGAATCATGCAAAACAACTAATCAAACCACAACTCTACCTTTCTTTCTCCCCCTTCCCAAAGTTGTACGATATCGCTGAAATCCATGCAAAGTGAGACAAGATTATTTGCATGAAATGTTTTGGGTAAAAACCTAAAAGGATACCCATTCCAACGCAGATATTGTAAAGAATTTGGAAAGTGTGGGCTGAATTTATTAAGTTTCCAATCACAACACAGAAATTCTAAAGCATCTAGAAAGTTTGGGATGAGTTTATTAATTCCATGGTTCCATTCACGAGCCTCCGCATCAAGAAACCGAAGTTCATTCATCTTTCTAAGACCTTTCATGAAGATTTCCGGATCGAGTCTCCCCCCACAGAATTTTATACATCTTGTGGCTTCAGTACCCTGTAAACAAAAAGCAATCACCATGAAACTTGTGTTGTATAAAATGAAAATGGGTTAGTTTCTCCAACTTACAGAAAAACATGATACTTACCAAGTCATTGGCCAATATATCTTCAATTTCCTTTCTATCCCACAATCGGCTATGTTTGTTAGGGGGGTGAGAGCTACGAACAATATTCCTGCCCATTTCTTCTAAATGGTCATGCATGCCCACACATTCATCGTTTCCAATAGTTATGAGAGATTTTTGCTCAAGAACCCTTAAACCAATTCTAGGATGAAATCCACAG